CTATGTTAAGTAGCCAAACTACAGTTCTTTTAACATTTGCTTTTGATATACATTCTGAGGTCTAAGGAAGGTAGAATATTAACTGCATTAATTATTGTTTTTAGAAACTGTTAACAAATTGTGTCTGTGTGAAGATGGAGACTTCCTTTTGTATTGTAGTAACCTTTTAAACATATTCAGGCAGTGAAGCCAATGATATTACAGCACCAATACTCCCCTTCAGGGAAGCATCCAATCCAGTGAATGAAAGGTTTTCTGATTAGTTTTGCATGGTACAATGGTTTTCCTAAAAACGTGCTTGTGTAATATGGACTAGATGATTTAAAATCAGAAACTAGAAAACTGTAAAGAAACTCAGAGCTCAGTATACAAAGTCTGCATTTCTGGTTGTAGAAGCCATATATTACCATTGTGCTGCTGTTGTACTTGAGAGCGCTCATCTGGTGCTATCTGTAACCACTTGGCATTAGCGTCTGCTAGATCCTCCTTCCTGTTTCTTCCTGAATATAGAACCTGTGCCTTTTAAGTTACTTCTGGTGTTGAATGGTAAAATCGTGTGGTATTTTTGTATTATAATCTGCACTTTACACTTTCTTGGAAATTAAAATCCTAGACTATCCAAATAGTATTTTAAAAATATTTATAATGTTTACAATAAATATTTTACATACTTTAATTCAACATCTAAAATGAGAAAAATTATAGAGTATTTTCTATCGTTTGTTAATTGTTATTTAATGTTGTGCTCTTCCCAGTTTATTTTATACCTTTTAGGATGGGCAAACATAGGAATAGATTGTAGTTTATCTTTTAATGTGGACGTAAACCTCCCGTTTATAACTGGCTGTCTCATCATGCTTCTGTAGCCTTGTGTGAGTTAGTGCTGACCTTCAGCCAGCCTCTTGGGACTCTCTTCTTGCTGTGGTTTCTTCTTTTCAAGTAGATTTATTAGACTTAACTGATAGTTTCTTGTCATGATTAAATTTCCAGGATTTAAATAAATTACTTTTTACATAGACTAAATGTTAAAAAGAACTGATTCTGACAGTATTAAAATCTGATTCTTAAAATTCTTATGTATTTAGGTCTTTTTTTATTAGATTTTTTATTCCCTTCTGCCAACATTTTCGTAATTCTCTAGCTTTTGGTATGACATCTGTTGCCTCAACAGTCTTGCTTTTTAAGACTGACAACTTACTGTACATTTAACAACAACTGTAACAATGAGTTGGTCGTAAGATGGATGCAAGTTGTCTTAGGAGAAATAATGATAAAACCATGTGGTGACAGTAATCATCTTAAACAGCATTGTGTGCTCAAGTGAGAACAGTAGGATAATAATAAAAGTAGGAATATAAAAGTAATGCGTGCCAGAGGCATTCATAATGAAGGAATTATCCTGAAAGCAAGATTTCTTCCTTTGAGGGATTGATTGGTCTGTGTGTAGTTTCTCACAGTAAGAACAACTATGTGCAGTCTGGTACATTGTTATCTGTAATCTAAGTCTCTGTAAGAGTGTGAGTATTGCACACTCCTGCTCAATCTCTAGTTGTGAGTAGATTCTTTAGTGTACATTCCCATTTTGCCATAGCGTTTTTACAATTCTTAAGAGTAAACAAAATCCATGACAGTGTGAAGCTCTGGTTTTGGAGTTACTTTCTGGCCTTTTTATTTTATGAGCTTAGTGAGCAATGGATTGGATGTTCTAAACCTGAAAGTTTGAGTAAAGAGTGATTTTTTTAAACATGCTATTTCAATTTTTATTCTAATCAAAAGATAATATAGTAACAGGAAGCTTTTCTCACCTGATTGCTACCTTGTCTCTTTACCAACTTGCATCCATCGGTTATTTATTTTAGCCTTTCTCAAACAGTATTTATTTGTAGACTGTCTTGCTTACCTCCTTTAGAATGACTTCTCTTTAATAAATGTATTTCTTTACAATTGCTTTAAAACACTTGCATCTTCTCTTTACTAACTTTGCACTTTCCTCTGTGGCTGCGTCTGAGGTGCTCTTTTCAGGTATAGTTTTTTTCTTTTCTCCTTTCCTAATGTACTCTTCTGGCATTTATATTTAGTTGGCCTTTTTCCTTCCAAAATATTCTATGGGAACAAAATTTTAATGTCATGAATCATAAAATAATAGTCATAATATGAACATCGTTTTATTAACACTTGAACTCTATAAAATTTAAAAGTGTCCTTATTTTACTTTTCTGCAGGTGATGAAACTTACCAGGACATTTTTCGTGACTTTTCTCAAATGGCATCCAATAATCCAGAGAAACTCAATCGTTTCCAGCAAGATTCACAGAAATTCTGAAACTTTTAAAAAAGGGTTGGCTATTGAACATCTGGTGAATTCCTAATGTATTCAGCCAAAAATTCACAACTTCTTACTGCTTTAATTCTACTTACTTAATTTTGGTAGATATTGAATTATTTGCAAAAAAAAAAAAAAAGGTACCCATTCACTTGATACTTTTCTAAATGAAAACATAGCTCTCTCTTAGTTAAGAGGCGAGGACTCTACTTTAGTACCTCATTTATTTTAGAAGGGCGAAGAAAAAAGTTTTACTGGGCTATGCTTTTATAGCTAAAGTTGACTCTAGATCTAAGCCATTTTTAAGTTCCAACCTGCTAAGTAGTCAGACACCACCCGTCCCCTTGCCATCATTCAGTTCCTATGTCTGCATCAAGTGGCAAGCAGGCATTTTACCTGCTTCAAGAATATGTCTGTTCTTTAACTTCCCTGATCATTTTTTGTGGTTCAGAAATAGGTATGCATGTTTTCTGGTAACCTAACTGTGGTACACACAATGTATAGTTTCATTACTAAGAACTTGAGAGGATGCTTTCCCGTATTTGCTCAGAAATGCCCCTGTACTACGTGCTAGGTGATACTAGGTGATTAGCTAGTACTTTAACACAGTGGCTATACACATAGACCACAATTTAGTCTTTAGATTGATTTCATCTTATGATGCAAACAAGCTCTTAATAGTTTTTCAATCACCAGATGAATCCCAGTTCAGTTTCATTGGGTTGATTTCCTAAAACCTTGGCAGATCTGTCAGAGTAATAAAACTATATTTCAAAGATTACTTGACTGTGACAAAATTAGGCTCTCATCAAAACATGGTGGCTTATAAAATAATATAGGGCATTTTTATATTTGAAATTTATTCTTTTTAAGATGCATTTTTTGCTATTATTCCTGATGAAAAAATTCTCCATGTAAAGGAGAAAGCTTATTTTTTTTTTGTTTATACTAAAATACACAGCAGTAAATTCCTTTTGTTTTTTTCTGTATCTAGTATACTGTATAACAGTATACATTCTTTTAAATTGTATCTTGTATATTGTTTTAGAATTAAGTAAAGTATGTCTTAGACTTTGGGATTCTGAAATTATGAATATATGATGCAAATTAGTTTGATGCCATCTTTGGTTAACATAAATTGTCAAAAGTATAGAATAATTAAGTAATTTGCTTTATGGTTCCTTTCCAACATTGTCAACCATTACGTTTAGTCTTCTTTTAGTAGTGTATGTAAGTAGCATTGATACTCAACTTCTAAAAAGGTTTTAAAATGTATAGAAGAGAAATTATATTTAATTAAACAAAATTTTAAAACATTTCCCCCCAGTGAGTAGAGCCTTACTTTAAGTATCAGATGAGAATCTAAAGCAGAATTATATTGAAATAAATTCATAACACAGATAAGATCCTATAATTTGGCCAAACTGAAAGCATGTAATGCATATTCAGTACTATGCACCACATGTTAAGGATAAAAATACATTGTGAATTGTTCCTGAGGAAATGTGAACTTCCAAATCATTGTAGTTTAACTGCAACATAAAAGGAACATCAAGTCTTGCCTGTTTCACCTCAGACTCACACACACATTTTGGCTTTGTGGGTTAAATGGGGAAGTCTAATCTGTAACATTTTTATTGGTGTGTACTTTGAAATTTATTGTTCTAAAAAAAGCTCAAGAAGAGCCATACTTAATGAAAGAAGACAGGAAGAAAGCCTGGGGGTGCCTGTGGCTTGTTTCAGAAGTTGTTAACGCGGCACTCAGAAGTGTCTGCTTATAAAGGCTGGAAATGTATCTGAACTGCCTTAAGGATTATTGTGGTTCTGAATATCTTCTTTTAATATTGCATGAAGGTTGGCAATACAAGACTGTATCTCCCGTGGCCACGCTGTTGCCCTTTGTTTTAATTCTCTGACTGATCTGCTGATAACTGTTTCTGACTTTTTATCGTTAGTCTGTTAGCTCCTTTTCATTAGCTCATGAACTTAAAATTGAATTAATAGAAAAATAAGCTTATAGGCATTAACTATGAAGAATTCATAAAACAGTTTGATTTTGGAAGCAGACTCAGGTGACAGAGCAGTTGTTCGCGTCACTGCAGCATTGTCATGCTTAGAACTTCTGAGGGTTCAAAATTATTTTTACTACAGTCCTTGGAAGTTCAAAATTTTCCAGGGATTTGCTACATCCAATGTGCCTGATTTATACTGGTGTTAATAAATTTTGGTGTTTGCTTTCCCAAATGTATATTCAATCTCCAACTTGTACTTTAGTGCTTTGAGAGTACATTTTGGGAAAAAAAATGATACATTCACAGTTTATAAAATTTAACTTTGTGATCATGTTAGCAGTATCGAAAATCTAATTTAATGCATGTTCGGTATGATCTTAAACCAGGTTGGTTTTCAAAATATCAGGCATTCCCAGATCACTCTTATATTCGCAGATTTACTTTTTGAGTGATTATTGTACTTTTGACCATGGGCATGGGCTAGAAAAATGATATATTTTTTATGGAATTCTCTGTCCAGAATGACTTTAGTGAATATCCGTTTAGATTCAGGGCTCCTGACAACATCAGTGAGTGGATGAAACAAAGGAAAGCTTGGAAAACCTCCCTTTGTGTATGTTTTGCAACTTTGACATTACTTTTCTTCACCTGGTGCTTTCAGTAAGATTTCTGAGATCTTAATCTATGGGCTTTGGCCCTGTCTACACCTTCATCCTAGCCTTCTCCACTTTTTTTGACAGAAATGTTCAATGGGTTTGCCAACTGGAGGCAGAGTTGATCTATAACCCAGAGTTGATCTATAATCCAGATCTGTCTGATGCTGTACAGGTGACTTCCTTGTATCATGAAGTGGTTTGAACTCACTGTAAAGTAGCAGCTTTCCCTGTGTTTGGGACTCTGAAGATTCTGGAGAACCTTCCTACAAGGTTTGAAGGAATGAATTGGGATTTGAAGACATCAAATTGTAGGAAATTCTACATTTTTGCGATAACAGACATTATTAAGAGCAAGACATTATAAAGTTAAATTCACCATTTATCAATTTATTGATGCTTTCAAATGGATGATAACCAGAAGGAGCTTGGATTCCCTTTGGCTGAATCCTGACACCTAGAAAGATGATTCTTATGGGCATCCTGTTCTGTTTACATGAATTAAAATAGGATCATGTGTGGACAGAGCAAGATTTGATTAAATACAATTTTCTCTGCATTGGCCTTTTCATGATCTTATTTTTGAGATTTCCTTCACTCCTCAGCCCTACGTTGGTGGTAACTTTAAGCAGGGAAAGCTTGCTATATTATAGAAATTGTTGGCACCGTTTATTTTACACAATGGCTAAAGGTTAACTTTTGGAAATGATGAGCTACTTTTCTTTGTTTGTTTACTTGTGCTTTGTGATACTTCTGGATCATTCCAGTCATAAAGACTGATTACATGTACTATTTCTTGCTACCTGTGAAAAGGCATATTTTAAAGAATGTATAACCAACACTCCATTACTTTTTATTAGTATGTAGAGGATTTGTATCTAATTCATGAATATAGTTTCACTGTAGTTTGTCATTGTAAATGGAACAAAGTACATTATCTTTATAGTTATTCTAAAATGTACATTATGTAAGAATTGTAAATATACTCAATTACTTTGTATTCTGAAAATTTACAATAATAAGCCAATAAAAAATCTCATTTCTGGAATTTTTTTATGCTTAGACTTTCTTTTGAACTACATTGTAGATAAATCTGTTAACATCTGTTCCATTTAAAGTCGACTTTCCAGTACTTCCAAATGATTGACATTGATCATGCTTGCTAATTATGTCAATAAGGAAATTAATTTTAATCCCTTAAATATTTTCTTCTAACTACAGAGGTGTTTGCACCCCTAATGCATTGACCAAAGACCACAGAAGTTTATTTGGCCCTTTACTCTACTTTTATCATTATAATTGACTCACCTGTCTAATCTAGACAACACGTCCACACTCCATCCTTTAGTAAACAAGTAAAAACCTGCTTATTTAATTGCACTTAAAGGAATGAAGAGGTGAAAATCAGAACTAGAAGTCAATCACCATTTTCCTTTCTTAAAAGTTATTTGAGGCCAGGCATGGTGGTGCACGCCTTTACCCCCAGCACTCGGAGGCAGAGGTAGGCGGATCTCTGTGAGTTCAAGGCTAGCCTTTTCTATATAGTGAGTTCCAGGACAGCTGGGGCTATAGGGAGACCCTGTCTCAAAAAGACCAAAAAAAAAAAAAAAAAAAAAAAATTGATGAAAGCAGACACGTAAACTTTTCTGAGTCATTTGCTGTGTTCAACTTCATTTCATTTTCAGAATAGTCATCTAAAGACGAGAACTTTTAGTAAATGTGTTAAACAAATGCAAACTCCCTAGTATTTTTCCTTATTGCAAAACTAGTGCATCTTCATTCAAAGAAAAAAAAGTTTAAATAAATGAAAAGGGCCGGGCATGATGGTGCATGCTTGTAATCCCAATACTCAGGAAGGCAGAAGCAGGAAAATTAAAGGCAGCTTGGCTATGTAGCAATAACCTGTCTGAAAACAGATGGACAGACAAACAGTTATATTGCTCAAAAAGCAAAATCGGGGCTGGAAAGTGATTAAGAGCACTGGCTGTTCTTGAAGAGGAAGGGGTTAAGTTCCCAGCATCCACATGGTGGCTAACAGCAGTCCATAACTCCAGTTCCAGGGGATCCAATGCTCTCTTCTGGCCTCTGCAGGCATTGCATGACACAGGTGCACTTACGTACATGCAGGTAAAATGCTCATACACATAAAAAAAGTGAAGAGAAAATCCGTAATTCTGTACCTACTTATGCTGTCCAAAATGGAATCCCATTAGCCACAGTGGCTATTTATTTTGTGTGTGTGTATGTGTGCATGGTCATGTGTTTGTAGGTGTATGTATGTACAGGTGCAAATGAACGTGTGTGTGTGTGTGTGTGTGTGTAGACCAGAGTATATCAGAGTACATCTCTGGGTGTCATTCCTCCTCAGACACAGTCCATTTTGTTTCTTTTAGACAGTGTCTCTTCTTGACTTGTCAATTAGGCTAGGCTGCCTGGCCAGTGAACCCCAGGGATCCTGCTGTCTTTGCCTCCCTGGTCCTGGGATCACAAACATGCGCTACCATGCCTGACTTTTTTACATGGATCCTAGGAATCAAATTCAGATCCTCCTCATGCTTGTGTGGTAAGCACTTTATTGCCTGTGCTATCTCTCTGGTCCCCACAAGTCCCCATTTAAATTAGGCGATGCATAGCTTTGTTCTTCACTCACAGTACCAGATCTTGGAATTTCAGGGTTTTGTGCATATCGGGATCTTTGCCTCCTTAGGCATATGATGATACACCCAGATATATTTATTTGAGGCTGAAAATGGGGACAGTAGTTTCACTTGTTATTTTCCCTGGCTGGAATGAATGATGTATGAGGGCTGGGGTTTTGCTTTTACACGGCTGTATTCTAGGTGCACCTGTGCTTGGTATTAGTAGGTACTCAGTATCAGTTGAATAACTGAGTGGCTACAATGAATCCACTGGGTTTTTTGACTGTTGTTATTGGTGGTTTTTTGTTGTTGTTTTTTCCTCTGCAGTATACTTAGGAAGCTGTAATATTAATTTTTCTCTATGGGCAAAGAACTGGGAACGAAGCCAGAACTGGGAGATACATGTTATTTTCTTAGGATGAATTCCTAGAATTGAAAATGCTGAAAAAAAGAAAGAAAGAAAATGCTGGTTTCACAGTAGGTGTATTTGTAAGGCTCAGTTGGTGCATCACATGTTGCATTAAGTAGTGGGAATATTGTAAGCAAAGTATTTGGGTAGTTTCTGACTTCCTAGGTAAAATTTAAGT